ATTACCCCAAATAAAAAAATTGTTTGGGCATTTTTTTAAATTTTTTTTTAATTCCTTTTTTTTTTTTTTTTTTTTTTTTTTTTTTTTTTTTTTTTGTGAGCCTGCTGTAGAACCATCTGCCATTACTTGCATGTAAACTTTTTATTTTAGATTATGAAATAATACATTCAGAACTCTGGAAAGTTAAGTCTTGAAAAGTCTAGGATTTTTATATAGAAGATGTATAGGAAGTCTTGTAATAGGAGGCTTGTGCTAAACTTCTCATGGCCAGCTGTTAGTGGTGTCACCACTAACAGCTGTTTGTGTAGCTGAAAAAAGTAAGAAAAAGAAAAGTTCACTGAACCTTTTATTACTTAATCTGGGAACTACTGTTGAACCTCTGGAGATTATTGTGCAAAGAATGATCCTCTACAAAATAAAATAAAAAATTATGGACAATCTTGAGTATCTTCTTCATGAGACAGTCATACAACAACAAAGCGTCTTCAGTTGAAGACTTTACATCTAAATAAAAGAAAATGTGAGTTAAAATGCACTTCATTTCCCTTGGGATCAATAAAGTATTTTTTAAATCTGAATATTTAATATTTTTTGTCTATTTTGGGGGGCCGTGTCTGAACTCAAGACTAGCTTTCACGTTTTAAACTGATTTTTTAATCAGTGCTGAACCTGGCTGCGCGCGCCTTTCGGTGGGCGGTGCCGATGTTTGTCTCCGCCCACAAAGGAAGCGAAAATAAAAACAAGAAGGTCGAAGCAAAGCTGATGATGCAGCTGTATTCCTGTCAGCACCGGAGTGTCTGAGAAAGTTTGAATCTTCGGTTCAGTGACAGCTTCATGTTGATGCTGTCTGGAATAATGTGCAGCCATTCATGGGAATAATCCGGATTTTGGCTCCTTATTTGACTCTACTTCGTCCTAATTTAGTTCAGAATCATCAGGTGAGCATTTCTTTACTTATCAAAGGAAGCGATTATGATATGTTTATGCATATTTATGTGTGGAGGATTTAAAATATGCATTTATTTCAGCTAATCATGGCCAGACGACTTTATGCGAGCAGAACAATCGGTGTGGACAAAAACGTTTGGTGAGTAATTACTCATAATTGATATCAAACTATTGCATGCATGAAAGAAGAATAGCAAAATTATTAAAAGAACAAATTTATCGAGTGGTGCAAACGATACCGTTTTCCCTGATCATGTCAATACTTGTGGACGATCCAGTGAGTCTTATGCGACCTGTAACTCATAATAAATCACCTTGCATCTTTCAATTCAGCTCTAATTTATTCACTCCAAAGTGAAGTTATGTAAAATACAAACGAACTGGGATTTTAGTAAACAGATATTCATGGGGTAATATGTGTAAAAACTGTGCAAATAATATTCAGAACAATATTAGAGTTCAGAAACCTTTTAAACCATGATGAATTAAAAGAGCCATATGATTGGCGGAGCAGAGGGCGGAACACTGAAAAGGTCAAAGTCCCGTGAATGTAGAACCTCGAAGATGTTGGTGAGAAAAAAAACTTTATCTTATATAAATGTCAGGACAGAAACTGTAGCAGGAAGAAATGTGTTTCTAGTGTAATTCTGATCTCAGGTTGATTTTAAAACCAAAACTCAATTGGATTTGGGGTATCAGTGCTTAGTGTTGACTAATGGTAATCATACAGTTCTATATACTTGGACAATTATTTGTTGTTTGACCTCTTTTTTAAAAAAAATCCGTTTTTAAATGTATTTATTTATAATTTCTCAGAATTAAACAACCAAGACAGACGACACGAAAAAACGACAGACTCAAAACTGATATGGCTGTAAATAATGAACAGATCTTCTACTTATTACACAGTAAAACGTCATGATCTGTAAAAAAGAAAAAAAAAAAAAGAACACTGTCTGACTTGTTTTGCACCAACAGGGTCGAATTCACACAGCTGGCTGCAGATTATAAAGCTGTGAACCTCGGACAGGGATTTCCCGACTTCTCGCCTCCGCAGTTTGTTCAGGATGCTTTCTGTAAGGCTGTGAGCGGAGGACCCCAGATGCACCAATATACCAGAGCTTTTGTAAGTCGAAATATTAGCTCAGGTTGATGTCTGTCAATCTGTAGAGGCTGAAAAACAAACATGCTTATAATTTGGCATTTGTCAGGAAATTTTCAGCCGTTAATCACACGTTAAAAAGGGGAAGAGATTTTCATTTGTTTCACTTTCTGTCGCCCAGGGCCATCCTCGTCTGGTAAAAAGTCTTGCTAAATTCTTCAGCCGGGTCGTTGGGCATGAGATCGACCCCTTTGAAGACGTCTTGGTCACAGTTGGAGCTTATCAAGCTCTTTTCTGTGCATTTCAGGCTCTGATTGATGATGGAGATGAAGTATGCCCCTTTTTGTGGCTCTTACATTTTCTGTATGTTTGAATGACTCAGCAGCTGGGTTACTCAGGTTTATATGCACAACACCCTGAAAATGTATCTGTATCCAGAACATTAGTTTAAAAATGTATTTCATATAAAATAATGTACTTTTTTACGCTGTTGACCCCAGTTGCCTTCTGAAGTTCCATAATTAGTAGAGTTCACCTGCATAGAATTTAATTTTAGTAAAAATCTAGCTGTTTTGTGAAGGCCTCCGAGGTTTGCCAGAGGCAATAGCACATCATAAACACAAGATGAAGATTATTGTGAAATTTAAAGCAGGGTACGATGTAAAAAAAATCCTAAAGAAGAGGAGTAGGTTAAAAAAAAACAAGGTTTTCCAAAAAACCCCATAGGTCCTATGGTGGTCTTTTTTTTTTAGGTATGTAGGAAATCCATGTGGAAAAAGGTTCTCCTTTCTGATGAGACCAAAATTAAACTTTGTTGTCCTGAGGAAACTATCACTGCATCCTCAATTCACAATTGTTTTAAACTGTTGTCTGTTTTCAGCTAATTGTAGGTTTTTCTTTTCATAGTAATGCTTTTGTTCAGTAGGATCACATAAAGGTCATCTTACGACAACCCTAAACATACCACCATAACCACAAGATGAAACCATATCAATTTGTCAGAACGGTCTAGTCAAAGTCCACACATAAATCTGATGAATCTTTGGGAAGACTTGAAAATAATTTTTAGCTGTCAGACTTTTTAAAAACGACAGATTACAAGTAAGGAGTATTATTACTTGTGCTAGGTGTTGTGTATTTAAATATCTGTATAAAAGTTTTTGCTATGCACCAGAACTGATGGGATTTTATCCTTCAGGTGATAATTGTGGAGCCGTTCTTTGACTGCTACCAGCCAATGGTTCTGATGGCGGGAGGGACCGCGGTGTATGTGCCGCTGAGACCGGTAAACGGTTAATTCTAAAAGGATCTGATGCCTCCGAGCTCCTTTGGACGCTCGCGTTCGACATGCGAGAGACGTTTTGTTTTTGTCACTAACCGCAGAAAGGGGGCAGCAGCGTCCTGTCAAGTGGAGACTGGGTTCTGTCTGCTGAGGAGCTCACCAGCAAAATCACTCCCCGCACAAAAGCCATCATCATCAACACTCCAAACAACCCTCTAGGCAAGGTGGGATTTATGACGCCCACTCTGCTAGGGAAACCCGAGCTCTTCGCAAACATCCCTTTCAAAACGGAGGTGGAAGAAAATAAACGTAATGCGTGAGTTCTGGGTTTACAGGTTTACAAGGTTGAGGAGCTCCAGATGATCGCCGACTTGTGCATCAAACACGACCTGCTGTGCTTCAGCGACGAGGTGTACGAGTGGCTCACTTACGACGGAGCCAAACACGTAAAGATAGGTGAGACACGAGCACCGCTTCGACACGACCTCGCCAAACACACGTTCATCAGCCTCTTGTGTTTCTGACAGCCAGCCTCCCTGGGATGTGGGAACGAACCGTAACAGTGGGCAGTGCTGGGAAAACCTTTAGTGCTACTGGCTGGAAGGTAATACACATTCAAATCTAGTACGGAGTTTCTGCTGTTTATTGTTTTGTGATTAATACCACCTCTGGTTTTAGGTTGGCTGGGCTATAAGTTCAGGAAAACTCATCAAGCACATGAAAATCATCCATCAGAACTCTGTGTATCACTGTGCAACAGCAGCTCAGGTAACTCCACCAACAAACTTCTTTCTTCAAAGCAATAATGTTGAGTTTTAGTAATTGAGGCCCTGGGCCCTGCATGTTTATAGGGGCTCCCCTGGTTCAACGCTCCCACTTTAAGTAAATGAATCTTCTATTAGGCAACTACAGAACATGATATGTTTGAGAAATAATTTATCCCTCAAATTAGCCTGTGTTGGAGCACGGACATCGGCCCTAAAGTACCTGAACTGGACAGCATTGACTTCAAAGTTTCCCTGTGAAGGAGTTGGCTGTACCTTGGTCACAGCATGTCTTTGGAACGTGGATGGAAGTTGGATGAAGTTTTATTATCTTTTGAGAGATGCCCGTGTCCTTTTCCATCAGAAAGTTCCTTTAAAAAAAATCTGGTTTTAACACAATTTTTCTAGCATTATTTGTATCTCTAGCGCTTTTCCTAAATTCTCAACTCATCCCGTTGTCACCCAGGAAGCCGTGTCCCACGGGTTCGACCGCGAGTACGAGCTGTTCGGGACTCCAGAGAGCTACTTCCAGCAGCTGCCTGCGATGCTGCACCAAAAAAGGCAGAAGCTGGCCTCGTGTCTGCGTAGTGTGGGCCTGCAGCCAGTCATGCCAGAGGGAGGATACTTCATGATCACAGACATCTCCTCCGTCAGTGAGTGACGAGCAAACGTCTAAGCTGGACACTTTGCATCCGGCGGGTGTTTATTTGGGCTTCCTAATGAATGTTTACCTGAGTCTTTTCGTCCTTTTGAACAGATGTAGATCTAAACGATGAGAGCACCAAGAATGAAAGCTACGATTTTAGATTTGTCAAATGGTTGATTAAGGAAAAGGTAAAGTCTAGTAGATATTATTTAAAAGATACATGTTTTTCTTTTGTTGTTTTGTTCTTTTCAAATTTTTTAGTACCTATTTTTTTCATTTCTTTTTTTTATCAAGGGCTTAGCGACAATCCCAGTCTCTGCTTTCTTCAGTCCAGAACACAGCAAAGAGTTTGACAAATATATCCGCTTCTGTTTCGTTAAGGTGAATGCAGCCACTTTGATCAAAACTGATGCTCTTTTCTTTTTCTGATTCTTTCTCAATCAGAAACCTTTTTTGTTGTTTGTTTCTTTTAAACAGGAAGACTCCACACTGGAAGCAGCAGAGGAGATCTTAAGAAAGTGGAGTCAAAAAGAATGAAATTTACCATCCATCGTCCATTTTTTTCTACAGCAACCTACTCAGCCTCCTCAGGAAAACTGTTCAGAAATCATGTTTATGTTTGTGTTTGTCCTCGTCAAAGTTTTTCAGACCACTCTGAAAGTCTAATAAAGCATTCAGTAAACAGTTGGTCCGTGTTCACATCATGCTTGTGGTGATTAGCTGCTTCACTCATTGTTTTTTTTGACAACTACTTGTGTGGAGATTCTAGTTATTTTTGTCGCTAATCTTGTATTTTTTTTTTTTTTTTTTTTTGAGAGGATGTTGAATGCTGGAGTTTCAGATTGTTACATACTGGCACAATAACAATTGTTACAATTGTAACAATTGTTACAGATTTTTAATTTTATAAATGCATGTCTTATTTAGCATCCTTAGTTTCTGAAAATGTATCAGCTAGACAAATTTTTTCCCCAAAAAAATGGAAAAAGAATGTGTGCATTGCAAACTGTATGTAAAGAATTCCAATTGTGTTCTAGAAATGTTAAATAATTATTCCCCTTAAAGATGTTAAAAGCACTGTTATGGATGACTCCGTGTCTTTATCTGCTTACATGCACAACTAACCAGAAACAAGACGGACTAAGCTGGTCAACCAATCTCAGTAGAAAAAAAAGCCCAGTTGCTAATAAACCACATTTTCTTTATTCGGTCGAGGTTTAACTGAATTGATTCGACATAACAGAGTCAAATTCTTGAGTGACGTACTGGTCGACAATCCACACCAGTCGGTGGTGGTAATGCACTAATTTCGTTTTTTGCCAACCGCCAAAACACATCAAAGAAGAACTGATTAGACTTTTATTTTTTATGCGGAAGTTAACCCGGAAGTAAATAAACCCACGTGTCGATGTTGAAGAATGTCGACCAATAGTGCAGAGAAAAGACCTAAACCTGCGTCCTCTCAGGTACTAATAATATAATTAACACGTTAGTGTGCGTCATTGATATTGTCATTTGTTTTAATGTATGCCTAATTTATTTCAGTTCGGGGACCAGATTCCCTGGAAGAAAAGGAAAGCAGAATGTGAGTAGAAGCTAACTGTGCTAACAACTGCATGTTCACTAGGTTTCACTAGTGGCAGGCTAAAACATTGGTTTAGCATCATCTGGAGTACGCTAGCTGTAATAATACGCATAGCCACGTTTTGTTATACAAGACTTAAGATGTTCAAGTCACTTGAAGCAGCAACATCAAGCGCCACAACTTTGAGGTCATTGTGCATTGAAATGGATAACAGGAGATTATGAGTTCAAAGCTATTTGAGGCAATTCATACCTAAATAATAGGATCCATTCCATACACAAATGAGTGAAACAATATATAAAGTGCATAATGTTAAACTTATGGTTGATTTGTAGCTTAGCATTTGCTTGACGAGTGCTTATAGTTTTGATATACAATATATGATAAACAGATTAAGGAACTGTCAGATTTATTAGACAGTTTCCCTGTATATTTTCAAATACCATTTAGCCTGGTGTAGCTTTCAGGTGAGGTTGTTTGCTCTAGAGAAGTGCCACAAGGTTCTGTTTTCCCACCATTCCCTTTTATTCTGTACACCTCAGAATTCTAGTAGAAATCAAAGTCCTGTCTTCTGTCTTACTATAGAGAATAAAACGTCTTCTGTCATATGTTGGTGTAGGATCTTCTGAGATAACGGCATAAAGAAGCTCAATTTTGGCACATAAACCTGTCGAAATATATTTCATTGAAATAAATTCTCTTAAAAAGTGATCTGTGTTATAACTCTTAAGATAACTGTAAACTGTTTTTGTCCCTAACAGTAAAGGAGAAACAGAAGCAGTGGAAAAAGGCTAAAATCATCAAACAGTTGGAGAAGCAGAAACGGCAAGAGACTGCAGAAAGAGCGGAGCAGGAGGAAAGCCAGAGTAAAAAAGGTAATAGGTGTCATTTGCTGATAGTCAGTTATTATCGGCTCAGGTAGCCGTAAACGGACGGGGACGTGTTTTTCAGGTCGAGCTTTCACGGTGAGCGTGGCCCTTCCGGGCTCCGTCCTGGACAACGCTCAGTCCCCTGAGCTCCGGACGTACCTGGCGGGACAGATTGCCCGAGCCTGCGTCGTGTTCAACGTCGACGAGATCGTCGTGTTTGACGAGCAGGGGGAAGATGTCAAGTAAGCGCTCTGGGAGGGAAAAAATTGAGCGTAAATACTATTTACACTGTCAGAATGCAAAGTGATGCTGGTTTTGCTCCAGGAGTGTCGAAGGAGAATTCAAAGGTGTTGGGAAGAAGGGCCATGCGTGTATTCAGCTTGCCAGAATACTTCAGTACATGGAGTGTCCGCAGTAAGTGTGGAGACGGTCAGATCAGTGACTATTGCTGTTTACTCCTCGATTTGTCACGCACGACTTCTGTTCTCCGCCAGGTATTTGCGCAAGTGGTTCTTCCCGGTGCACAAAGACTTACAGTATGCAGGTAATTTTAAAACCATCATCACTTTTAAGTGATTTATTTTGAATTTACCATATGTGAAGGTCTGAGATTGTAGACGGATGTGAGATGGCCAACCCAAACAGCACAATAGCAGACCGTTTATGTTGCACATAAACTTATACCAACAATAAAACCTACTTGTATTGCACAAAGCTTCCTCTTGATGTGGATCAACTAAACACACCAGCGCTCTGATCTAGTTTTTGTTTTTGCTAAGCCTTCAGCTTTCTCACGGGTTAAAAACATCTGAAGATCTGATTAAATGTTTAAATCCCATACATTTTTAAAATTGCTCATTTGGCAGTCTGTTTGTGGGGCATTTCAAAGTATAAATACAAACATTTGGTTAATTTACTGCAGATATTTCTATCAATGACCCTTTCTTTAGGATGCCTCCGCATTTCTAAATGGATAGCAAGCCAAAGGACAAATACTTGAATAGGGAAGAGAGATTCATAAGTGAATAATGAAGAAAAAACAGGAAGATGCAGGCAGAGCTACTTACTAGGATAAATGGATGAAAGAAGTGTGAAGGTAGATGGATTCATAAATGCACACATGCGTGGATGGTTGTTTAGGCTTGTAGAACTACAAGAAAGGAAGGAAGGTGCAGTTAGATTATCTGTCAGAGGGTTTTTCTGTTTGAACCTCTAGCACCAGTAGTGACAAAAACTGCATTAGAATCATAGTGAAAGTGCAAAAACAACATTGTTTCAGGTCAGTCCATGCTATTTTCCACTAGGTTTGCTTAACCCTCTGGACAGTCCTCATCACATGAGGATAGACGAAGAGTCAGAGTACCGAGAAGGAAGAGTCCTCAACAAGCCACCCAAACAAGGAAAGGGTTCGTTGGTGAACTGTGGAATGAGAAAGGTGACTTTGACACAGCTATTAGTCTGAATTTGATGAGTGAGAGATTAAACAGGTCGGACATCATAAAATGTGTCATAAAATGTCGTCTCCAGGACGTGCGGATTGATAAACAACTTCAGCCGGATCTGCGAGTTACAGTGAAACTCAGTAAGACACAGAATCAAGGTAGGTTTTCCCCGTTGGAGTATGCTGTACTTTATTCATCCATTGCAGTGTAACACAAGTAGAGCATCAGTTCAGTGTTTGTCCCTGTGTGTGCGCGTGCAGAAAGCAGACTTTATAAAGGTGTCGTCGTGGCGCCTCATGTTCCCCGAACAGAAGGTGGTCTCTACTGGGGGTACACGGTCCGCCTGGCATCCTGCCTGAGTATGTGCCTCTTTTTTGTTTGTTTGTTTGTTTGTTTTAAATCCTGTGACTTAAAACGTGTAGAAAAATTCTCACTGCTGGCGTTTTTTTTTTTTTGGCTGATGCAGGTTCAGTTTTCACTGAGAGTCCTTTTAAAGAAGGGTATGACCTGACAGTTGGCACCTCAGAGAGAGGCAGCAGTGTGGACCAAGCCACTCTGTCACCATTCAAGTAGGTTCAAAGCTCATTGAATGATTAGGTCGGTCGGTCAAGTGCTTTAAAATCAGCATGCTTGCATGCAAATTTAGGCGTCAAGCGTCTATAGTATTTAGTGTTAACATGCTGCCAATTAGTGATATTTTCTCCCTACTCTTTAGGCACCTTTTGGTGGTTTTTGGAGGTCTTCAGGGTTTGGAAGCCAGCCTGGACGCAGACCAAAACCTGGATGTGACCGACCCCAGCGACTTGTTTGATCTCTACCTCAACACATGTCCCGATCAGGGCAGTAGAACCATTAGAACGGAGGTAAAAATGCAAAAATAGACGGATAAAGAGAAGCCAACTGCACTGTAAACATCATGACAAAGTTTCCACTTTTGCTCAGCGTTGAAATTGAATCTTTCTGTTAACAGGAAGCTATTCTAATCTCCATGGCGGCACTGAGACAGAAGATCACAGCTGCTTTTCCAGATGATTCCAGCAGCTCATGAAACATACTGTAAACATATCCTTGTGTCAAATATCTGATAATTCCCTTCTGTAAATAGGCATCGACTTCATTGACCAGTCTGTTTTTTTTTTTTTTTGTCTTTGCTATGCAGTGGAAACTGAACATGATTTGTGTGTTACCTGTCTTAACATTGCTTTGATGCACAGTTCTGAAACAAAACACATTGAAGTTTTATATTTTTTGAGCAAGAACCTAAAATATATCTGCGCCGAGAAAAAAAAGATAAATTCTAAATTGAGCTTCAGTGCCTTGCACAAGAATCTCCTTGAATGAATCTCATGTTTTCAGGCTGCAGTTTAACAGTCATTGCACAACTCATTCGGAGTTTGTCTGGATGGTAGACATGCATCTTAAAAAGAAAATTTGAGGTGAAGTTAATACAGTCTGCAGCAAATTCTTCCTTTATTATGGATATAATCTTTGTGGTGCAAACATAACTTACAGTAGTATGAAGTGCTGCTCTTTTCCAGTCACATAAAAATGAAAGACAAAAAAAAGATATCTGCCTTCTCTGATCTGAAAGTTGTTAAAAACAATTATTTGTGTCTTACATCACCATAATTTTAATATTTAATTGGATTTTGATACTTGATACCCGATAAAATAACCAACAAATGACTTTCAGCAAAACATGACTGGATTTGAAGAACTAAAGCACAAGGATGATCATCAGCTACTCATAAAAGGCAATATGGTTAGAAAATGCATTCCTCCAACTAAAGCTCCCTTCTAATTTGTTGAACTGAATAAAGCACTGAAATAAACCTTTATGGAATACATTCGGGTCGCATGCACTAAAAACTTTGGCCAGTTTCAAATGTCAATGGATGCGTTGGTTCCCCACTTTGTGGCAAAAACATTTAACTGAAGTTAGTTAGGTCTGGATTGTTGTAAAACTACAATGCTGTCCAGTTCAACATGCTCCTGATCTAAACCACAGTGCTCGGGCTGCTGTGTTGTCTCATAAGGCTCCGCTATGATTGGCCTGTCGGCTGAACTGGACATCTGTCTTTGGCAGCTATTTTTTAGATTATGATCTCTTTACAACAGTGGTGAAACCTACTTAAATTGTGTCGTAAGCCACTTGATGATTTTTGGATTAAAGGAACTTGCTGATAAAATCCTCCAACATGGAAAACATTTAAATACATAAAAATATAGAGATGTGTACAACCTTTTAAATTAGTTATTTTCTATGTACAAAATTTCGGTCAGACAGCACTACGTGGCACACAGATGCAGTGAGGAAGTTTACACACATTCATTGGAATGAACACATTATTTTTGGGTTTTAAATGAAGTTATTACCCCTTTTTTTTTTACAGGGCGGAATGATTATTACAACACATAACCTGATTTATTTTTTTATCAAAAAATGAAATATACTGTAACTTGTGTTTTTCCTAGAGACAGACTCTATTAAATACAAATCTTCCAAACTATTAAGTAAAATGATCATGATTGGCTGTAATAGTTTCAAACATTCAAGCATTGACATGTTTATTACTGGCTAGTCCTATACTGGTAACAATGGGGCAGTCCAATCAACTCGGTCCAAAAAAGAATCGACACCTAGAGAAGCCAAATGTTTTCTGGAGAAAGGTTTTACGGGCAGATGAAACAAGGAGTGAGCCGAGGCAAAGCTCATGATGTGGCGTTGTTTTGGTGCCAACACACAAAGTGGAAGGAATATTTAATAATTAATTTTCCTGGATTTTACCAATCAATAAATGGTAAAAATTTCTTGAACCTAAATTATAATAGCTAACTTGCTAACATCAACCTTATGAAAGAGTCTTCCCAAAGCTGTGACCTCGGTAATATTGAAAATGTGCAAACTTTATTTAAATCTGTTGGGTTCCTGCTAGGGATGCACAGATTTATCGGTGCCGATTTCCTCAATTTTGGGAAACCGGTGATCGGCCTATTTTTACATGTGAAGCTGATCTTATCCACTGGTTTTATCTACCTATTTAAATCAACTGTTATCTTCTTCTGTTCTGCTGTGAGAGAGATTTGACTAGCAGACCGGCCCACCAGATCAGATCTGGTGGGCAGTTAACAATAGTCATCTCACTGTTGGCAACTTGTCAACTTTCTTGCTACATTTAGCAACACTTTACACACACACAAAAAAAATTGGTATCGGCCAAAATCGGAATTGGCAGGTCAGGATTTTTAGAAGATCGGTAATCGACCAGAAAACTGGAATCGGTGCACACCTAGTTCCTGCACAGAGTTGCCTTTTTTTTTTTAGCAAACTATAGCAGTTTTGCATAAAGAGTGAATACCCAGGAAGCATTATGCTAGGATCTCGGTAACGGTTACAAAACGTACGCAATGACGTGGGAGCGTCAAGCAATTATTACAGAGGGTGTATGTAAACATTTGAGCTTGTGTGTATAATTCTGACTCTGTGTGGCTGCACCCAGATTTTGCTTTCAGAAAACTCAGAAGGAGTTTGCTGTGAAATCTTTTCACCCTGAGAAAAAAAATACGGTCCAAATTAAACCTCAAACTGATGACATTCACGCCGCTTGTGTGTAAACTTTCTGACCACAACTGAGTATCCTCCAAAAGCCATACAAGTTTAGTACCTGAAATCAGAAACGGAAACATTTCCCCGCATCTTCATCACCATTAACCCAAGGTTTCCCGTGTCTTCACCATCGTTGCCGGATAAAAGCATTTGTGACGTCTCGTTTTGAGATCACCGTGAACTTTAATCCGCCGTGCTCGTCTGCTTCTCGGCTGTGCAGCTGGTGTCTCCCCACTTGGGGCTGGTGAACGTGATGTTGTATAGCTTGGCCCAACGGGCAAACACCTGTTTCTCCGTGATGAAACGATGGTGGTGTCCCCTGCGGTTGTTTTCATTCTGAAGGTACGTTGTACATTCGTCAGACTCCCTGGGTTTGTAGTAGTGGTAGGGCATCTTCTTGGACCCCGGCTTTCTTCTGGAAAGATGGTAACAACGGTACTATTTAGGTAAACGTTTGATAGATAATTATTTGTTATTTGGTTTTGATTAGAAATTACCTGACGAACTGGCCAGAAACTAAAATTCTGATGTTTTTTCGATGAGGTTTGTGAATTGTTTTTTTTAGTAGGGACAATGCGAGTTAACGGTTTTGCAAATTATTCCAGAATTAGCAAGAAGGCTATTTTTCATCTGTTGTCCCTGGATGAATAATTTGTCTCACTAAATACAGAGGTTATACAAACGAGGTTAAAATGACTTACCTACACGAATTTTGTCAATAAATACAATCAATACCAACAGTAACTACAAAACAAGCAAGTCTATCATAAAAAAACCCCATAGAAATTAAAACTAAATTAATATTATTTAAGTAAAAGCTAATTTAAATAAAAGGTTCCAGAGGTGATGATATAGACAGTTAAAACTTTATGCAGAAAATAGAAAAGCTATTTTAGCAATTTTTGTTCTTAAAGACATTAGCTAAACATTGCATCGGCATGCCAGACCTTTACAAAATCCATGATCAGAAATCAGCTGGAAAAATGCCTGGGTGAAAAATGCCTGGTGAATCTTTTGTTATGAAAAGTTTATACATAATAAGTCTTCTCGTTATACTCACCCGCAGTAATTTGGTGGAACCATCCCATATACTTTAATATTATCACATATCTCAATGGCTATGACCATTGTGAACCAGCCAGTGCTCAACCAAGAGTGGGACTTTTGTCTTTGCAGGAAGAAAAACAAAAGCAGTCAGTAAGTACGACAGTTCCTTAATGAGAGGCTGTGAACACAAGACGTGATCAACGTCCAAACCAGACTTACCTGTCCCGTCCGGTCTCTCTGCTGAACAGATTATCAAATTTTCGCATTTTGTTTGGTGAAATGCTGAAGAACGACAGGTTGCTGTAGGTCATCCCGATCCTCTGGATCAACCTGAACAAGGTTCCCTTAGCATCCTTCCAGATCTTATTCGGGGGTCCCCAGAAGATGATTGTGGAGTTGTAGTCCGTGCGCCGCATATACTCGTTGGGCCGCCGCATCACCCTGAAGACGCTGGAGTGGGCCACTACCCGGAGGGTGGTGCGGTTGCCGACGTCCGTCTCGTAGCCTGACGTGGGGGCGTCGTTCATGCGGATCACGCACTCCGTCCGGTCGATCTCGTCCCCCGCCCGGCTGCCGAGGACGTGGCTGGAGCTCGTCACAAGTGCACAGTTGCGACAGTGCAGGTTCATACTCTGAAAGAGACGGCGTAAAACTTTTACAGCAAATTTAACAGAGTTATTTAAGCCTGAACAACAGCGGTGAACTGAATTCATTTTTACGAGCTGCGGGTGAGAACAGTTTATTTAACAGGGTTTGTCCACTTTTCTCACAGTAAAATTCAAGCATTTTCAAGGAAAGTTTTCAAACTCTTCCAGCACCTCAATTTAGAGATAAAAAATAGTAGAAATGAACTAAAAAAAAATCATTATTAATGACATTTTATGATGTCCTTAATAATAAATAATATCTTGTGATAGCATTCTAAATCCTACCGCAGGGACTAGGTAAATTAAAGTTTAACAATATTTTATGCTTTGAAATGTCTTACACACCTGACCAGTCTGAGAACGTTATAAACAAAATCTAAATATTTTCTACAATTTCTGGGATTTAGCAAATAGACATAATTTTGGTCAATCTCACTGTCCAAAATTAAAGAAAAAGTTGGTCTAATTTACCTTCAGACAGTGATAAGAAGGTATTTTATCATCTTTAAATATCTGGTTTCAACTGTAAGAAAAAACACTTTTCAAATTTAGGCTTTTAATCAAAGGTCAGGTTGGACTTTAGTACAAATCTGTACCGTTTGAATAGAGCAATTTGAAGGACTTTGTACGGAAATCAGGCAAACTAAACCTTTGTCGCATTCCACAAATCTGTTGAAATCCCAGTTGATAACCTGTTGAGCAGCTTACCTTGTTACCGAAAACTGGCAGGTAGCCATCTCTACCAGCTGACTTCCTGAGGTCTGTAGTCTTGACTGCGTGACTGATGGCCACGTGAAAGGGGATGTAGACGCCATCACTGGTGTTGTTGGAGCCATAGAGGATGAGGAGTGTGGTCAGGATGAAGACGGCGAAGAAGATCACCATCCTGTGGCTCTGTTGACCCTGCAGCGTAAATAACAGTGAAATGATAAATACAGGGCAGCAAATGTACTGTTCTCTCCTTTTTTTAATTCACTTTGTACATTTTCACATTTTGTCACAAAAATCTGAAAACTATGGCACACTAGTGGAAAAGAAAAAGTTTTCCAACACACATTGTGTTTTAAAATGTAGGTCAAAATTCTGTTTTGCCATCATCTGACCAAAGTGCCTTTCTTTACAGTTTTTGGTGGGTCTCCTATGTGTTTTGCACATAGCTATTTCTGTTATACGTTGAGTAAAATGCCACTGGATTCATTTTATGCAAAAAATCCAATTGTAAATTTGGATACCAGTTTCAAACATGTTTGGTTGTAAAACTCAAAAGGGATCTTTATCTTCTATTTTCCCCCCCACTTTCTGATACGCTATTTTATTGAAGGTTTTATAAATGCCTCATTGGTAGCAATTTCTTTCTGAAAATATTGTAAC